TGACGATGTGGACAGTGTGAGGCCGGAAACAGGGCACACTGGGACCCCGCTCCATCTGTGTCAGTCAGTCCAGCCCAGAGCAGAGCTGGCTCCGGACCAGAGCGTCGGACCAGCGTGACGTCCTCCATCACACCACAGCTGTTGTTTTCACAGCTTCTCCCCAAACATCCACCTTTTTTTCGGTGTGTTTTTTATGTATAGGATTATGTGTGACTGCCAAAGTAATCGTTAAACTATGTTCCCATCTTTCTTACAGCCTTCTATTGAAAAGGGAATAATCAGCACCGTATGGTCGCCACTCTGATAATTACTACCATGACTTTGATTCAGTCGCAGGATGAGCTCACCAATCACTCCCCCGGTCTACGTCTAAAGCGATCCTCGGGTCCTGGAGACTAAACACACCCTGTCATCATCCAGGAGGCGGACTGGCTCGCTCCACCCATCGCTAACAGCAGGCTGCGGCTGCACTCCAACCACTCAACACAACAATGCTGAGGAGTGATGCAACGATGACTCCTTATTGCTGCTTTTGATTACATCGCGCTCCAAAATAGAAAATACCTGCATGTGAGCCAATTTACACTAAAGTCCCTCCATTTCCCAGAAGCCTTTGTACCAATACAGGAAGTGATTAATAACTCAGGCAGCCGGAGGGAGTCTCAGGAGTTTGGTATGGGCAAGGAGCAGAAGTGCTTTAATATGGTCGTATTTACATTGTAGTGAGAGATGACAGCCCGTTGCCTGGGGATTTGTGTTTTGTTTCCACGGCAGGAGCCAAGAGTGTGTGGGTCTGCCAGACGAAACCGCCATCCAGCAGCAACGCACTGCGATGTGTCAGCCGGAGAACTGGCTGCTGCTTCCCCGGCCGGGACTCACAGCTGGTCTCAGTGTGAAGAGCGAGGGCAGGATGCAGGCACATTGAGAACAAAACGCATTCTCGGCTACTGCTGTGTGGTTCTGAGTGAAAGCAGGTGCTGATGGACAGCCTTCATCCTCACCACAGTAACTCATTCATCAACACTTTACTGTAAGGCCTCCTGTCTGCATTTATCAGCAGCATACACACATTTATTAAAGGGTCGGTGACACACTACAGGATATGCTAGTGTAATGATGCTAACAGCGCTTCTCCTCTGGAAACATACATCAGTACCGTCGTCTCCACTCACACAGGAGGCGTCAGAGCTTTTTAAACACTGGCCTCCGACTGCATTATAGAGAGCAGTAAACCATTTACTAATTGTTTTTACTGCCAATAAACACTGAAGCGGACGACTCAAAGCGAGGTTTTGGCTTTATTTGACAGCGTGTTGAGATATAATTTATGCCGCCACACAAACACTGAATTTTGTTTCTCAAAGCACTTAAAGCAGTAAATCAGCATTTTGGAAAAAGTTCTCGCTGAGAGTCAGATGAAAGGATCACGTGACGACGGCTGACATGATGTTTGAGCGATTAGAAACCACAAACCTGGCTCGCCTGGTGGTTTGGCACCGTAGCATCGTCCCGTATTTACTGCTCTGACAGGATAAAGTCTCATCTAGTCGTCGGCAGGACGAATCAACATGTTTCCACTGATTTTAGAGGCTTTCTTTAAAAACAAACAGCACAGTCGTTATTCTTTATTCATGGTGCAAGACAAGTGACCAACATAAAGACTCACAACACAAAAAAAACCTTTAAAAAGTAGAATCTTAAAGAGCAGCTAGCAGCAACACAACTGTCTTATTATTGGTCTATATTTGTATATACACCACAGTTACATTTAGAGCTGCTTTTCTAACAGAGTTTGAATAAGAGAGCTCGGTGGAGACGTCACAGAAGGTAAGAAGGGACAACAGTCAAGTTCAGTCCAGTTTAACATAAGAAATATGGATCCCAGCAGCAAAGAGGTTGAACACATAAACACATTTATCCGTTCCAGTACAATGGACCACATAGAGTCTGTTAGGAAACAAACACAACAGTTCACCACGACGAAAGATCATGAAATGGGAAGCTATCAGCAAAGAAGACCAACTTATTAAAACCACAACCACGTGGACGATCACGGACTCCTGCTCAGTAGCAGACAGACCAGAGCACTTCTGTCTTTTATGTTTTTATGTCTCACAAAATTGTGCATAAACTTTTCAATTGTAATTTCCAAGACATACTGGGAGGAGGGTCTGCAGGTGGATCAGTGGTTAGCACCGTTAGCGCCTTCAATAGAAGGTCGCCGGTTGGCGTCCCGGTGAGGACACCCGGGATCTTCCTGCGTGGAGTCTCCATGTTCTCCCCGTGCAGCGTGGGTTCTCTCCGGGTTCTCCGGCTTCCTCCCACAGTCCACAAACATGCTGAGGTTAATTGGTGATTGTAAATTGTCCGTAGGTGTGAATGTGAGTGTGCTTGGTTGTCTGTCTCTAAGTGTAGCCCTGTGATAGACTGGTTACCTGTCCAGGTGAACCTGCCTTCACCCTGAGTCAGCTGGGATAGGCTCCGCCCCCCATGACCCTGGTGAGGGTTAAGGTGTAGAGATGAGGGATGGATGGATTTTGAGAGTACAAATAGTGAAAAATTCTACTTGCAAACTTCTTTTTAAGGCTCGTTCAGGTGTGTCAGAGTAAAGTTGGGGTTTGATGGTCTTATCATGTGACCACAGTCTCCATCACAGCAACTTGACCTGCTTGATGAAAACCATGCGACAGGATGAAAGCAAAAACAACGATCCTGTTCATTTTCAGTCCTTAGACGGCTCTCGGGGAGCTCTGTGGACTATCAGCCTTAACTAGGGCATCACTCCTTAAACGGAGTGAGGAGGACAGCCATCTCCGTCTGTACTGGGACTGCTCTGGCCTTCTTAGTGGCTTTCTGCAGGGTCTACATCCTATCAAAATAAAAGCTGCACACTTTGCTTGCCACTATTCAACCTTTCATTCTCGTTCTCAATACCAACAAACCTTGAAAAGTGCCTTTTGTTGAGGAGGAAGAATGTAAACAGTGTGAATCCAACACCTGTTCACTGGAGTCTTCTGCAGCCTTGACGTCACCTTACTACGACCGTAAAGCTGCTGCTGCACTGTTTGTATCAGCGTGAACTTTGGATGAACGCTGAATATGCACATAACTTAATTACCTCAGCAGGCAGGGGCTATCAATGCTGTGACCTCCACAGCGAATAAATCATTTACAGTAGTAATAGAGGCTTTTTTTCTTCCTTGATTGCAGCCAGACTCCACCCTTCCTGCTGCTGAGGGACTCATCAGCTGAAGCGTAGCTGTGTGCGGATACGTCGGGCTGGAATGTGAGCCACTGAGGGGAATTCTGCCCTGTTTCACGAGCCAAAGGTGTCACTTTTGAGGGAGAGATTTCTGGATGTGGTGAATAATGCTCGGACTGAGTCATGAGGCAGTTCCACAGAAAACGCAGAGTAATCTCTCCTGGGAAGGATATCCTCTCTGACCCCAGTTCTTTCATCTGCCATCTAGAGCTCTCATCAGAGCTGCCTCTGGCTCTGCCTGCTTATCTTCCTCCCTGACTTAGTTCTTTTTTTTTTCTTCTTCCCTCGCTGGCTAACTTTATAAGGAGCTTCCTGTGTGTGAGGACGTCACCGTGGCTACGGGCGGGGAGGGGAGGAGGGTTGGACTGGGAGGAGAGACGTTCTGGACGTGAAGCCTCTGTATCCCTGTTCCCTTCGGTGGAACATGGGAAAAAAACACAATAACAGAAAGTGCAGTAAAGCAGGTAGACACATAAAAACGTACTGACTGAGCTCAGTTTGATCACTCTTCATTCACTTCCTCTTCACAGGTGAGCATTTCCTGCAGCGTCCATCAAACTCTCCAGACCTCTGGTGTTTATATCATTCACACACAACTGAACTGTAAATCTCACCTCACAAAAAAAGAGAGGAAAACCACCCCTCTCTTTGGCCTGCTGCTCACAACTGGCCCCGAGGAATCCTAGAAATGTGCCTGAAATTATAAAGGGGGATTAGCAGAGTCTGGTCCATGTAGGGCCAAATATGTCCTGATAAGCCTTTTGGCTCTGGGGCGCCTCTGTGGGCAAAGCTGTGCAGGATTCACGAAGCCCGGCACAAGAACAGCCTGTTCTCTCTGTGCACACACACCTCTGCTCTCTGCCACTATTGATTCAACACACAGCTTGTTTGTAGCTATTGTACCGTTTGTTTGGTTAGCGTGCATGTCAGTGCTGGGTTTGTTTAGCCCAGTTAGGTTACCGTACATAGTTAATACAACACCACTTACAGTCTAAGTGCCTGTAAATGGACGGCATGAGGTGCTGCACATCCACGCGTGCTCACATGTTAAACCCACGACAACCTGCTGCCTTCATGCCTCTGAGTGAAGCGAGCGTTGCAGCAGGTAAACAGGTCCAGCTATAAGATCTGATAGCGAGCAGCTGAACAATGTGGGCTCTGCTCAGTTGGCAGCAGAACAGCGTGCAGATAAGGCCGTTCCTGGCTGTGTTTCTTTGCCAGCTGTCTGTGTTATCTACCCTGGAGCCCCCCCCACCACCACCACCATGCTGCAGACCAGTCCAGCTCACTCTGGGCTGCAGACCTGTTGTTCATGAACGCAGAAGCAGCAACAGGTGATAAAAGAGAGTTTCTGAAAGGTTAAACCTGCAGGATGAAGTGAGGAGTCTGCAGAGAGAGAGGTTTCTCCATATGAGGAGTTCACTGTCCCATCTATCAGCTCCCTGTATCCCTGTGTTCACTCCTGCTCTGTCCTCTGAGGCTAAAGCACATGAAGCCTGTCAGACTTTGATCACATCGAGTTGCCTGATGTCGGCCTGTCGGTGGCTCTGTGCAGCCCATAGACATGCTCAGTCTCTGGTGCAGCCCAGCTCCTCATGCTTCCTGCACACTGCAGCAGTCTGCTGGAAACGCGCGCCTGCGCCTTTAAGGCCAGCGCGAGGCGGAGCCAGTGCGTCTGCGCTGCGCGGAGCTTATAAGACATTGCTCACTACAACACTAGACTTATCTAAAAGTGTCACATAGAGCCGGAGCGTCGCCAAGCCGCGGGCGTCCTGTTCCTGATGCAATAGAAATCAGAAGATTACGAACTCCGACCAGAACCCGAGGAGCTATACCGGAGCAGAGGAGCGTCAGGGGGGAGGTCAGAGCGCGGAGCAGAGCCGCCAAGTTCTTTAGGTGAGTCCACAAAGTGATCCGAACCGTCCTGCTTCTGGACGTGTCGCTGTGTTGTTGTGTGTGTTGGTGCCAGAACCAGACTCCAGTGATGCAACTTCTGGTCCTGTTCACATTTATTAATATTTAAATCTTTTCTATCTTCTAGTAATTTTTTGACTCTCACATTTAAGAGGAACAAGTTTCCTCTGAGCCGAGAGCATTTTATTATCATTATTATTATTATTATTATTATTATTATTATTAATAATAATTCTAACACAGTGAACTAGAAGCTTTGGGCTAATTTATTCACTCAAGTGTATATATGGGATATAATAATACAAAAAATAAGAAAAGGAAGCTTCTTTATAAAACTTCTCAACCTGCTTTAATTCCTTTTATTTCAATATCAATTAGTAAGTTTTCCGCTCAAACAAAAGGGGAAATAATTGATTGTGTCTCATCATTAGCTGGCCTTGCCAAATAGCTGACTTGTGTGTTGTGGTGTGAGTCACCTGCCTGCTAGAGGGCTTTTAACCATTATTATCTCAATCCGGTAAAGTGAGGGGGTGTGCGCGCTGTTTGCTTGCCGCACAGGTAGAGCGGGTATGGTTGCTCGGAAACCGCTGCAGGGGTGTCACGAGCGGGGTGTGAACTCCTGCTTTCAGCGCTGCTCTGTGACTCCTGCTCACCTGAATCCAACCGCCTGCTGAGGATGTCTGAACATCCCAGCACATCATCCAGCACCCACCGGACCTTTTTTTTTTTTTTATCATCCTCCCCCTGAGCCTCGTCCCCCTTTTGTACAAACAGATTTTTTTTTTCTTTTTAAACTTCTCTGGTCCAAGTGATCAGAATTTTAATGGGCATAAAGAATCCCTCCTCAGGACGGTTAATGCTCTGCATGACTACATCATTTGTTTAATCCCGCTGCCTGTAAATGCTGCTGTGGTTAACTGCCAGGATGAACTGTCTTTGCACCTGTTGCAAGAGGAAGCACAAGCCCCTGGGGGTTCATTATCGAGGATCATGTTGCTTCCCCTCTCTGCCGAACCGAATCGACGGCCCTGGGCAGAAGAGGGGGGATCACATGCCTTGCTGGGCAGCTTGGCTCGGGCTGATGCCCCGGGCTTCCTGTTGTTTTAGAGCTTTGTTTCTCAGCAGCTGTCAGGGCAGCGCATAAATATGGCTCATAGGAGAGCGGGAACGAGGGGCCGTGTTCCCCTCAGTCATCACTCCCACATTATAAGGAGGACAGCATGTCTCTGGGTGTGCACACCACTCGTCTGTGGTCTCCAGAAGAGATGGCCGGTCGGCTTATGGATGCACCTGTTGAAAAAAACAATAATTAGTGGTGCTGAAGAGAAGGTACTGAAGATTTACTGCAAAGGAGGCAGTTCAGTGAAGCCACACATGCAACTAAAGCTGACCCATGATGTGCTGCTTTAATACTGAAGCAAGAATTAGTGGCTGGAAGCTGGTTTCTCCTGAGATGTGACCTGGAGCGTGTAGACCCAGCGTCAGGCTAAAGTCAGATCAGATTTTACTTCCAGCGGCTGACCCCAGAAATATCAATACGCCGGCAGGTTTCCTCCCTCTGAATACTGTATACATTGTTTACTCAGCCCTGACACATACCTGACATGACACCAGCATTCAGGTCATTCGACATGAGCAGTTCTTGCAACATCAGGTATATCTGTGGTAACAGGAGGAGCCCCTTACTTTCCTGTTCAAGACGAGCAGCATTGCAGCACTGGAGCGCAGCACATTCAAGTTTTAAAATAAACTGAACTTATTAAGAGGCACGGTCTGTGGAAGTAGAAGTTTGAAAGTTGGAGTTCACACCCATGATTACGCTGCTGAGCTCAGGCTTATGTGGACTCAGGCATTAGGTGAAATGTGGAGATCACACACTGAGGACAGACACACTGAATGTGCTGCATTGATTTCCAGTATTTATATTCCTTTTAAAGTGTGTAAATGCTGCTCTCACTGCTTCCACTGTATGAAGCTCTTCTCTCTCATCAGGTGGATCCTCTCAAACATTTGTGTCTACATCGAGTTTCCTAGCACCCCCCCAGCGTGTCTGCATCCCATGTAGGTCAGGTTACTTGACCAGAAAGCAGTCAGACCACGCTTTGCTCCAGTCTCGTCTCTCTCTGTAGAACAGAACCAGAACATTGTGACTAACGTGTTCGAGGCTGTGTTGAAACCCAAGTGTCCTGAAGGCCTGTCAAACGGAGCTTTTGTCATTCCTGTCATAGGAGGTTGTCTTCAAAAATGAATATGTACATATTTGGCCTGTTGAGCAGCAAAATAGAGGATGTTTGTGTTATCGGATATCAGGACTTTCTTTCCCTGAAGGATGTTGGCTCTGCTTTCAAAGACTGTTTTTTCCTTTCGTGTTCTGTTTTCACCTGCCTTCGCTGTCAGCCTTCTTTCTCCATATTTACGGCTGTGTCTTGGCTGTGTTGTAGGTACATCAGAAGCAGGGGCAGCCAACCGGGTGATCTGAGTGTTTCCTGGCTTTGATGCGACCCGAGTGTGCCTGGAGCATGTCCACAGTGGGCCTGACTGCCCAGGAGATCTCTTTTCCCATAGAAAACCCCTTCCTCCAGGGCAGCTACTGTCACAGCATGGCTGGATCCAAACCTTCCTGTGGCTATCGCCATGACCTGCACAAGTGAGTGTCCGGGTGCCGGGGTGAGCGCTCCATCAGGGGAAGGCTTTTAGAAAACACTGTTCAGATTGCATGACATGTTAAAGTTCTATGATTCAGGTCAGTCTTAGATTTCCCATAGATTATAAAGTGCTACTTGCTCTTGTGGTCTAAAATCGTTGTTTTCTTCTTCAGCAGCTTGTACTTCAGCATGGACACTGCACACACAGAGCACAGCTACAGAGCCCAGCCGAAGGGCCCGCCGCCAAGCTATGAGAGTAAGTGCATGGTCCTTGATTTGCACAATATACGTCTATCAAATACAAACAGCGTGTCTTTGAATGATCTGCAGCTGCACATTGTGTATCTGGTGTTTGGCTGTGAGTGGCAGTGCATAAATCACATCAGACTGTTTGTGTGCAGTGAAGCTGTGAAGGTAGACGGGGACTGTGGTTAAATCATTTCATACTGGGGCGTTCGTCTGATGTCATTCATGTCGATGTTCCTCCCTGACAGGACATAAACACAGTCCCAGCTCACAGAGGTTCCCTCCCAAGAAGTCCCGGCCTTCCCATCTCTCCCTGTCCTGCAGCGCTGAACCGTCCACCCCGAGTCCTGCTGACGACGACCAGGTGGTCCCCTCATTCCAGAGACTTACCGTCTACGAGTGCAGCAGCCCCCCACAGACGCCAGGCAGATGCTCCAAACCTCTGCCTCCCATCCCCCCACAGACAGACATCTCCCCTGAGCAGGCGATGGACAACGAGGTGGAGTTTTTCACAAGTTCGGACGACAGCTGCTGCCTGGTGTCTGATCAGTGTTCCAAATCGTCTCCTTTTCGGTACGGAGTGCCGAGCCGAAGGAGCTTCAGGGACTGCGGGCAGATTAACTATGCCTACTACGACGGTCCACTAGGACCACAAAGCCCACGGCAGCCCCAGCAGCACCATCAGGCAACTCCTCCACAGGAAGTGCGGGAACAGTACGAGCAGGTGCGACAGGAGCCGCCTGAGCCGGTGGTCTGCCAGAGACAGCAGGACAAGGCTCAGAGGAGGCTACGGCGCTCCCACTCTGGCCCGGCCGGATCCTTAAACAAGCCCTCACTGCTGCGCCTCACGTGCCACAAGCGGCACACCAACAGTTTGGATAAACCAGAGGTGCCACCGCCCATCCCTCCGCGTGCAGTCAAGGCAGGAGACTACCGCCGCTGGTCAGCAGAGGTCTCGTCTGGGACTTGCAGCGATGAGGACAAACCGCCCAAAGTGCCCCCCAGAGACCCTCTGTCCCTGGGGAGCTCCCGCACTCCCAGCCCCAAGAGCCTCCCGTCGTACATCAACGGGGTGATGCCTCCGACCCAAAGCTTTGCACCCAATCCCAAATACGTGAGCGGTCGGGGTTTACAGAGACAGAACAGCGAGGGATCCCCCTGCATCGTTCCCGTCATGGAGAACGGCAAGAAGGCGAGCACCACACATTACTACCTTCTGCCTCAGCGCTCTGCTTTCGTAGACTCGCCCTGTGACTGCCACACCAGGAGGAAAGCGCACGTGGATTTAGTCTGACAAGTTTTAGTGGAAGTAGCAGAGGACTCTACTGTACGTGAGCGGAAACCACTCGACAAAATGATGAAACTGGACGCTAGCAACCCTCAAACTGCTGCTTTTACGATATGTTGTTGTGCCCCTTATGTATTCTGACCACACAGGGTATGTGCGCACTGTATACAGTTACTGGTGATGTTGGAACAGCTCGCAGCCGAGGTACCTGACAAGAACCGTATCTGGCTAAAGATTCAACATTGTAGAGCTTATTTTTGATATGATTTTTATTTCATGACATTCAATATTGTGCTGTGTGAGCTGATGATGCGGTACAGTCAGAAGGTTCAGGCGGGCCTTGGACCTCGTGTGCTCAGTGTTTTGTGTCTGGATGTTTTTGTGAGATGCGTTGATGCTGCTTTTGTATCTCACAGGGGACAAAAGGTCAGTAATGTAACCATGTGTGATATATGAAGTCTGAACATAAGCCCGATTTACTTTTGAACTAAATGAAGGATGCTAGCACTCAGATCTCCACTCTATCTGCTACTTTATCGACACCGATGTGGTTCCCCTGCCTTGTTCTCACTCAGGACGACCACGTCGGTGTACATTTGTGTTTTTGCCACATTGTCATGGTACACTTTGTACCCAGAGGGGGGTACATTACTGGTAGCTATGCATGTTTCCATTGGAATGTTTAGTGCAGCTTATATGGTGTGGTTGTCTGATGAGTGTCGTTGTGTGTCTGTATGTGCGGTGGCGTGTTTGTGCACATGTGCATGTGAACAGCAGCTGGAAAAGTGTTGTGGTGATACAACATGCAGCGGATCAGTGGAGGAGCGTCGGCCCTACTTGTTACTGTGTGCTGCTTGTTTGCCTGCTTCTGAGCTCAGCTCTGTAAGAAGTGCACACGTCTGAGTTCCTCCTGTCGGTGTCCACGTCTGTTTGTAGCACAGAAAGTGAATGTATGATATTCTTACTGAATTCCACTTAGAGGAGCTTCTTTTTGGTCAAAGCTGTGAGTCATTGCTTGAAACTAATTTGCCTCAAGTACTACCTCACTTTGATAGGAATCCTGTATGTTATAAAGTCCCAGTTCAAATCGCATCCAAACGTAAAATCCCAAATTGTAATCGACAGGAAGACGAGGTAACCAGCTCCACATATGACCGGACACGATTTGTTTTAAATTGAGTTACACTCCAGTTGAGAGTCGATTCTAACCGGATATCCTTAAAGAGAGATTCTAGATCACGCAGATCTTCTGTGGGAGATGTTCGGCGAGCCTTGTTAATACAGACGCATTACAAAGACAGTGCAGGGTTTACCTACCTGACACAGACTTTCCTGTTCTGCACATGCATTCCTGCCTTACATGATTGCAGTGGGTGTGGTCTGAAAGACTTTGGCTGCTGGCAGCCGAGAAAATATATGGATTTTATTGTTGTAGATTATTCACGAAGCGTCTGGATGTTATAGAAGATGTAGCACATGTATTGAAGTAACCCTTGGTATCAAACACGGTGTTCAGTTTGGGAAACGTAACTGCTAAGGTCAATCGGTCATTGAAGTATGCTCTTCCTCTCCCTCCTGCTCACAAAGCTTGCCAATACGACGTCGCTTTGACTTAAATGTTTGAGAAATGTTTACATCATACACTAATACTATTTAATCTTAAGGTATTCACATGTCTTATTAGAAATAATACAACTGAATGAAGACTAGTTTGTCAAGAAATAACTTCTCTGCTGTGGTGAAGACATGCACTGGGAGAGTTCAGTATGCTGTGTACAGTATTTAACAATTCCATTTGTTATGAGTAGTTCATAAGTATATAGTCTTTACAAAGAAAGCAAAAAATAAAATGACTTATTTATGAGCTGGCGTAATTCTGTTTCTTGAATCTGTCAGAAGTGAACTCTCTGCTCAGCTGTTTGGCCTGTTTTATCACCCACACACCCTCCTGCTGCCTGGCCTCTATCCAGAGACACAAGAGTGACAGGTGTAGAGCGGATCGCCTTCCTCTTCCTGGTTGCGACACGGTTTCCTGCTGCGTACGCCTGCGTCGATGCTCCTGGCAGCCGCCGTGCACCCACAGCTTGTAGAGCCTTTCTAACACTGCTGCACTGTTGTTGTGTTTTTGACTTGAGTCCATGCGGTTAGACGTGGAGCCGGAACCACCCAGAACCACCCAGAACCACCCAGAACCACACGGAGCTCCGGAGGTCAGATAATCACTAAATACGCTGCAGTAAAAAAATAAAAATCAAACATTCTGAGACCTCTGAGCATTTCTGTGGAGCTGCTGCTGGTTTATTTTTGCATTATTCTCTCAGTGAAGCAGACGTTTGACTCTCCACCTGCAAACCCTTTCACCTGGTTCACTCTGAGGCCAGCTGCTAGGCGACGGCGTTGGGTGGCGACTGCAGCAATTAAAGGAAGGCAGGCTGCTCATTTTAAATGGTTGCTGGGGGCAAGAAAAGAAAGAAGCGCTGGATGAATTAACAAGAGTCCTGGTATAAAATCAGCCACATTGTCGCGCTGCTGTGGCACCAAAAACCTCTGATCCAGACATGTGACCCACACAGACTCCACTGTCACAACTTTCATGACTTGAATTGTGAAACTTTTTATCAGACTTGGCCATAAAGGCTCAGGGATGATTATAAATCAGTCCCTTTGTGTCCAGAGCTGTTTCTGTCCGCTCATGGTTTCCCTCCAAAGCCACAACTGCACATAAACACCTTTATTTTTGTCAACTCGAGTCTTCATTTAGTCTTAACCTCCGTTTTAGTCATTAAATAGGTTTTTGCTTCAGTTAATTAGAGTCTTTGCTGGCACTGCTGGTGGATTATAAAGTGGAACAACCTCGTTTCAACCAGGAGGAATATTACAGTAATTATGATTAATGCCCAGTTAGCTGCTACACAGCCTCCTGGGTGGCTGGAATAATGTTCAGGACACGATAACGCTCTGATGGTGACACAACATGGACCTCATGAGATCTCTGGTGCTCTGTGATGTCTGGCAGATGTTGGATCCTGTGGGGGCGGGGCGGGTTAGATTGGGTTGTGGGGAGTTCGGAGGCCTGGTCGACACCTTTGACTCTTTGTTGTGTCCGTCGAGTTGTTCCTGAGCAGGTCTCAGGTTTACCAACAGGTCAGTGTTGTGAGATGTGAACATGGTTTTCACACCGGGGCTGATTCGTGTGCACAAGAATCCTCACCGAGCAAATTACACAGAATTAGAGGAAGATTATTTAGTCATAAATCATATTTTAGTTCATCACAAGTGCATCTAACTCTGAGATCCAAAGGGAAACAGTGCACACTGATGATCCCTGACTGGTTTAAACTCTGTGGCCGACTGAAGAGCGTCCCCTGCTGGTGTGACGTTAGATTTCCCTCCACACCATCATATTCCTGGGTCTTTGTAAAGCTTCTGGTCTTATGACACTGAGCCCATTTTCATACCCATCAGCTACTTAAAATGGAAAGATGAGGCAGTTCACAGTGTGATGGAACAGTCAGGATTTAATATTAATCTGATCTGAACTAAAAAAGAAGTTGAAATAAAACAAATAAATCTCAATTGCTTGTACATCAGGATAAGATCTAGAGAACATGCTCAACAAACTAGCCAACATGCTCCAAATGGATTTAGATTGATTATTATTTCCATATCTGTCACATAAAGCTAATTATACTTAATTACTTGGACCAAGAAAATGTATGATGTCTGAAATCTGATGTACTTATAAGAGCAGGATAAGTCGAGCTGTCTGTCCGGCATCCGCACCAGGTTTCTGTAGATGTTCAGATGCCTCCCTCCTCTCAAAAAAATACACAAACAAGCAAAAGAAAAGGAAAAACTCGGCTGGAAAATCTGCTCAATAACCCAGGTCTAGATGGACCTCTTCTTATCGTTTGCTGTGAGGGATGTGAGATGTAAATGTTTAACTCGAGCTGGTTAAATTTTACTCAGAGGACTTGTGAAGGAAATGCAGCACATCCAGAGACGGTAAAGAAATCAGTCGGTGTGGCTCCTGTCTTTAGCCACTAGGTGGAGACAAAAACCTGTCTGATCAAAAAGATAGGGGTGAACTGGCTGCTATAAACCAGCAGCAGGGCGCTGAGGTGCACAGTTTCAGTAGATAAATCAAAGACCTTTCCAATACCAGTATGTCACTGGTCAGCCTGGCAGGACCGATGATCTGCTGTGGTGAAGCTGAAGCTACCTGACGCTCTGATTCCACCACAGATCAGTGACTTCAGATATGAACAGCTGTGTTACACTCCCTCAGTGTGATGAGCCCTCTGTCCTCACGTTCTGCAGGCAAAACCTTAAAATGAGTGCACTGACGCCATCTAGTGAGAGGAGACTGTAATGACTCAGAGCAACAGCTCGGATTCTCTTGTGTAGGAGTTTTCAGTAGTTGGTGTACAAAATACACAGAACTACACCATGACATTGTTTTCTTTATATATTTTTTGGAGCTTTTTGCCTTTATTTAGAGCAGTAGAGAGAGACAGGAAAGGGGGAAGAAGAACGGGGAGAGACCTGCAGTAAAGGCCGTGATCGGGAGTTGAACCCACAACTGCTGCGTTGGGGAACTATAGCTAACTAAAGCTAACTAAAGCTAACTCATGGGTCACCGCTCAGTTAGTGAGCCATAGGGACGCCCCATGATGAATTTTTTTTTAAAAAACAACAACTTTTGTCTGTTAAAGCACTGCTACTGGGTTGGACTTCATAAAAATGGGCACGTTTGTAAATGTGTTCAGTGTCCTGCTGTAATTTTGTGGTAACGATAAATATCTTGCGTACTGTCGTGCACAGTGAAGATGTTAGACATCGTATGAGCAGTGGTGCTTCCTGGTGCATCGAACAACAATCTCTCCGTTTGTCTTTCTTTTCTTTTTTAATAGTTTAGTGCGCTCTCAGTAAATGTAGACATGTAATGCTTTCAGGGAAAAAAAAAAAAAGACTTGTACTTTTATTGTTGTATCTTGTATTTCTCAAGACTGAGGAGGATATTTAATTATTGACAACAAATAAAATAAAACATCATGTCAGTGAAGTGTTTTGTCCTCAAACAAAGACAAAAATTAAACTTTATAAAATACTGGTAAAATGGTTTCGGAGCTAATTAGCTAACACTGGAGTCTGATATGAGTTTTTAGCCGAGGCCACAGGAGGTTACGCTGAATTAAAGTTCCTATAAATACAATCATAAATATCACAACAAACGTTTACCTCTGTATAACATGACATGCATTTGATAGTTTGCAGCTAACTTTGATCTTTAACTTTCTTTACTGCCGGCCTTTAAAACATTCTTTTACAAACAAAATCATTCAGTCGGCTTCATCCGGCGCTGATGCTCCGATCCTCTGGATGAGTTCTTGCTGCCTGCAGAAACACAAGAACAATTACATAACAAGGTTGTTTTCTACAGAATGAGTCGGCACAGGGAGACCAGGTTGAGACCAACATTTGAACCATTTGTGGGCACTGTTGTTACCTGAACTGTCACATGTGATGCCAGAGCAGTAAACCAACATACCTGAAATCCAGTCAACATCCTCTAGAAGCGGTCTAAAAAACCCCAAAGCATTTATATGTTAACATGCAATCCATGCTGAGAAGTTATGGACTGAACTTTTAGAATAGATTGTGAATACATAAAAAGAGATGAGGACACACCTGTGTTTGAGAAGTCAAAGAAATCATTAAAATCGTCAAACGCAGACAGTCTCCTCTGATAGGCGTTTTTCTTTTTCCTGAAATAGGACGAATGAATCTTTGAAGTTCATAACTACAGTTGAAAGGTTCTAAATAAAAGTCGCATTTGTGCATATTGTGCATCACAACCCACCAACTGCCTATATGTTTCTTTTTGACCATGACAGTGATGAAGACGATGGTAATCAGGAGGAGGAGTGCTGCCCCCAGAGATCCGAACACGGCTCCATAAAAACTTGGACCTCGACGGGAGAGATCACACTGTGGGCCGTAAAACTGCTCCCAACTGTTTTGGTGGCACCTGCATTAAAGAGAATAATTTGTTAATGTGATTAATATGATAGGAAGAAGTCCCTTCAATTAGAATAAAAGAAGACAGAATGCTTACGTGCACTGGGGCCCTGTGAAGATGTCGTTGTGACAGACTCCACGCTGGTGGCAGTAATCAGGGTTTGTCTTGCAAGGCCCGACACACAGCCATCGACCGTCAACGATCTCAGCAGTGTAATTAGCAAATCCAGAGCAGTTAACAAAAGGCATCAGGTCTGAGACGTCTGATTGAAAAAACAAGACATATCACGCATAAAAAAATCTTCTAAAATATATTAGCTGCAGCAACACTGTTGTTGTGCTGCATGTTTAGAACAGACCTAAAGCACTTACCAGTAACTGGAGGAGGCTGGAAGGTGAGTCCATTTAACTGCACGCTTTCATTACCAAAGGCCTGTGAAATCTGACTGAGGCTTCTCGAGTCGTTCAGAATATCCGCCAGCACCCCGTCGAGCTGCGTGTTGACAAACTGGATCTGAGTCTCGTTGTTTTGATATCTGTACTCCGCCGACGTCACTGCGACGACACTTCCCGGTCTACAGGAGAAAAATAAAAAGCTATGATGAAAAAAAACCTCTTATGTGAATAAAAATATAATGAATGTATGATAAGACTCAAGCCCCTCGCCACCCGAGTGAGGATTAAGTAGTGTATAGATAATGGACAGATGGATGGATAAATGCATCAATGACTGAAAACGTACGATAACTTGATGACTTGTACTGTTGTAAAGCCTTGTGGGAATGCTTGTCTGCACAGGGGTTCGAGCTGGAACACAGAACAGATGCTATCATAGAACATTTACGGCAATTCAACTATTAGCATCAGAACAACAGAACACACGTGTGTGATATCAGCAGTTATTATCTTGTAATTTATTATAAGACATAAACTGTTTGACAAGAGAAAATACTCTTAAAATTGACAGAAAAAATAATCATTAAATCATGCAATGATGAACTGGAAGTCTGTACCTGACGTTCTAACGTCCTGATGAACTCTAAGGACTCGGGTGATTCTAAATCATTGAACGCATCCTGGAAACTAATGTTGATTTCCAAAGTAAGATTTGCTGCTCGAGTAGGTACTCCTTCAGTATCTGCAGAAAAAATGGTGACAATTTACTTTAATGCTATTGCAATAACATCATACAGACAATGCAATAACATTTAACTTTGGAGTGAGAACAAATTTAAAATAAACATATTCGGAGACACAAAACCCAACCAAACCTTACCAATATTAGCAGATGTATCATCTTGTCCAAGAGAGCAGTGATCTCCAAGGACAAAATCTTGACACTGACACTGACAGCTTCCCAGTGTCTCGTTGAATATGCAGGTACCACCGTTACACTGACAGTCTGTGCACTGAGCTGTAGATGATGCTGTCACAGCAGGAGTACGTGTTGGTTCTTCACTGGTGGCTACAGCAGGAGATGCTGTAACAGGCGCCTTACTGGAGGAGAGTGTGGAAGGCAGATGGACGGTAGCTGTAGCGTCTGAGCTTGGCATGACAGTAGATGTTGGTGAAACAGTTGGTGATGTGGAGACTGCAGTGGGTGAGGACATCATCGATGGAGATGTTTCCTTGCTCACTGATGGACTCA